TATATATATATATATATATATATATATATATATACAAAAACTTAAACTGGACACAAGTGCCACTGTGCTCTTTAATTCAAGGATTTTACATTCTGCAAATCTCCCTACTTTATCAAGTGTCAAATTCAAGTACTTTGTATGGAGATATTTCAAGCACAAAGGGACAGACACTTAAAGAACAGCACAAGAGAAAAGGACAGATGTTTTTTTAACAAGGGCACTTGAAACACTCTGTTTGGATTGTTGATGTGGACAGTAATACGTGATGCCTTCATTCCTATAAAAGAGCTTACAGCCTTGAACCACAAAAAATAAAACAGGTAAAATACCAAAGAACTGTAACAGATTATTTCAACATGCAGAGTGATCTGTCTCTGCGTGCCAGAGTTAGTGTCAGTGTTCAGCTGCAGCTTCATTCTTGTTTGTTTTCTTCTTCTTCCGTCATAGCCATATGAGACATCCACAGTGTTTCCACATGTTTACAGTATTAATAAAATAGCATTCTAGAGGGAATTCACCAAGAAAAAATGGAGCCCACTGATTGTTACTTACACTACTTTATAAGTTGTTGAAATGCCTGATGCGCTAAAGTAATTAATGCAATTCATGTCATGGCACATTTGCATAATCTTGTGGGTCCCCATCAGTTCTTAGGAGCTGGTTACAGGCGTGAAAAAAAACAAGGGTCTAGGTCGACCAATATGGATTTTGAATGGCCGATTTGTATATATTGCAAAGTAGGTTGGCCAAAGTCCGATTTAGCCCTATATGATTTTAAACATGGTAATGATATTGCATTTAAATATTGTAAAAATTACAAACTTTTTATTTCAGAGGAATGTATATATGTTTTACATAACATTTACTAAAATCTGAAATAATTAAAATATATTTTAATTTGATAAATCTGTCAAATTAAATTTATATTTTATAGCATCCTCTGTAGACTTATAGTATTTCATAAAAAAAAAAAAAACACACAAAGCAAACTCTGTAACCAACGGTGCAGTAATCTGGTAAGTCATATTTTCTCAAATAAAGACAGAATAAATGCAATTTCACACACAATACACAGTGAATACGGCATGAATGTGCTGTCAAAATAAAAGTCCTGCTCTCAACACTTATTGACCAAACAGAAAAAGAAACATAATGGTTGATGCCATTATGGTGATATATCGGTGCTCTCTGCTTAGTGAATTCCCCCCTTAACATTTGTAACATAAAATTTTACACAAATGAAAGTATAAGCAACAGACTGTCAGAGGAGCTACGCCGATGAAAACCTGAGGACACGGAGCTTTGCAGAGCGGTTAGAAACAACACATGATGATGACATGAGAGGATAAACTTACCTCATAGACCTTAGAGATTTACAAGAGAAGAAGAATAGGTGAGAACCATGGTTATGCACTAGCAGATAATAACAGTCACTATAATTCCATCTTAGGCTCTTTTTTTCCTGCTTACCCAGTTCTTTTTCTTCTTCTTCTTGGCATCGTCTTTCAGGCTCCCCACACTGGAGTGGCTGGTAATGCTGTTCAGACTAGAGATGCTCTCGGATGAGTTCTGCCTCCTAATTCGCAACTCTGAAAGAAGGAATAAAGAACATTTGTCTGGTAATATTCATCGTATATTGAGCTAAAACTGCATGCATAAAGGTGCATGTTTGCGGTCTTCACCTTTAGGGGCCATATCTGGGTTATTGAGTGCCACATGGATGACGGCCTGGGCCTCCATGTTCTTGGTCTTAAGGTTGTCGATTGTTTCTCTAAGGTCCAGTAATTCACTGTCCTATAGAGACAAAAAACCCCAGATATGTTTAGTCTGTGCTCATCCATTTAAAGCATAAACACTGAAACAGCATTCCCCAAAGCGCTGCTACTGACGGTTTCCCAAACAAATGTAGGTTCACTTCTGCTTTGCGCAATGATTTACTGCCTGCACTTGACCAATGGCATTTACGACAGACGAAGACACAGGGACGTCTACAAAAGCTCCTCCAGCTGTGCATCACTGGTACCTCAACATCATTTGCTTTCTCTGAATCACTCAAACAGTCTGTAGGGTCACAGTCACTGGAATGAAACAGTGAATTCGGGTCACTGCCTCTAGACTGGCTGCCTCTTTTACAGAGGGCAATGTGGCATGAAAGTCAGCGTTTCATTTCTAAACCCTCCTGCATTAATTTAGCCAAAGGCAAATCATGAAGTTGAAAATTTGGAGTATGGCACAGATAGCGCAGTGAACCTTTGTGAGTAAATGAAAAGCCAGCAACCCCCAACATCCATTCAGCCCTAATTTGACCCATATTTGCTCTTTCGCTCTCAGTGACTCTGTGAGGTTACACATATTGATCTAAATTTGGGCGGTAAAAGGACAGATGAGGTTTGGGTAGTATGCTTCATACACATGGACCAATCTAAAGAAATTAGACCTGTTTTTAAACTATGATAACACACTGAAAAAAGAAACATTTTTACTCAGTAATGCCTAATTTCAAAAATAATTACAAAGAAATGTCAAGTAACATGAAATTAAACATGACATTTTGAAGTAGAAAGACAGAAGGAACTATTTTCTTGTAAAACATACTCCAATGACCTTTTGTGTAATTTACAACTTCAAAAAGGTTTGGTTTTGGTGCTCTAGTGTGCTTGCAGGAAGTCAGTGGTAGAGAACCTGTATTGCTTTGGCAGATCAAGTATCCTACTCCATCATGATATGAAATGCTACTGCTGTAACTGTTACCAATAAGCCATAAATGGTGGAACTGAGATGATTACAGGAGTTTTGGCTTGTTTTAGGGATCGCTTGATCGTACCTTCTGCTCAGCGCCGAAGGAGAGGTTCTGGAGTCGAGAGGTCATGAGGGTCAGACTCTGCTCAAACGCTGCCACCAGGTTGGCCTGGGGGAAAAAAATCAATTTATTCGCATTACATGTGACCATGATATAATCAAGATAATATTAAATAATAATTGGAATGTTCAAGAAAAATACACACGACCGTTCAAAAGTTTGGGGTGTGTTCGATTGTTTTATGTTTCTGAAAGTCTCTTATGCTCACTAGGGCTGCATTCATTCGATCGAAGTAAAAATGTGATATTGTGAAATATTGAAATATGAATTTTTCAGGACTAGAATAACCTTTGAAACAGTAGTTTACATACAAAATAGAATAGAAGTGTCATATGTGTTTAACAGTGTACATTTACATTAGCAGACAGCTGTGAGGTCAGATTGGCCACCTTCTCCTGTGAAGACTCCAGCTCCCTCCTCAGCTTACGGATTTGCTGTGAAGAACCGCACAAAGTTATTAACCAACAAAGAATTCATGACATAAAGCTGCATCAAATCGAAAGGAACAGTTCACCCGAAAATGTGAATTCTGTCATCATTACTCTTCCTCATGGTGTTCCAAACCTGACTTTGTTTGTTGCGAATAAGAGAAGGACATGTTAGGCTGCTCTTTTCCATACAATGATCGCAAATGTCAACCGAGGACCTCCAAGCTCCAGAAAAATGACAAAACAGCACAGTAAAAATATCATAAAAGCACTCCATAGTCCATGTAACTTAAGTCCTCTAAAGTAATATGATAGCTTTATATGAGAAACGGTCGTTAATTGACTGAAAATGTTCTCTAATAAAGCTCTCTAAAGTTCATATGGGCTACTTTTATATTGTCATTTTTGAGCTTGCATTGAATTTCACTGAATGATTAAAGCAGAACAGAGCAGAAAAAACTCATTCTGCTGAATGGCTGCTTTTGTGTTCCATGGAAGAAAACAAATCATACAGGATTGTCTGCAGGAGTAAATGATGACAATTTTCATTTTTGGTGAACTATTCCTCTAAACGATCATGTTATTTACTTCGACATAAATCTGAAATGTTTCTCCTAAATTACAGTATTACAGTCAGACTGAACTGCTGAAGCTCCAGGAACAGAAGCTCATTGCAGCTGCTGGAAAACTGTGACAGATGATATTTAACACTCCCAATAGCAACTGTGTGTGTTTATATTTTCTCTATTTGGAACAGGCTGATAAACTCTATATATGCAACTGAAGACAACAGAAAGAGAAATGGTGAGTATGTTCACATACTATGATGCACGGCAGACCAGAACGACACACACGATGAGTAAAATCAGACTCACTTCAAGCCTTCAGGCTTGGAATGCAAAACTTCAAGTACATCTCTTAGAGATTTTTGTAAGTAACTCGGTGAGACACCTTCGTTTTGCATCCATAGATCAAGTAGACAGACTCATGAAACAACGAAAGCCTATTCCTACCAGGATATGAAACAACAGCACCACAACCACGATATACTAAATCTAGACAATGCAATGTGCCAAGTCTAAAAAAATCATACTGCAGTGATACTTTTTTTTTTTTTCATTTGAAAGGATTATTATTTATTTTTAATTGTTTGGATACTGTTTTTTATACGTTTTTATAAATGAATTTAAACTCGGCAATTCAATAAAATTATATACTTGTATTTTCTTAATTGTTTGGATGCTAAAGATTTTTATTTAATTAATATAAATGATAGATATCTAGGTTTCATATAAAATGACAAACTTGGCCATTTACAATTTTAAACCGGCAATTAAACAGATTTTTTATTCTGAATCAAGGTAATTTTCTTAATTGTTTGGATGTTGTTTTATTCATATAAATGAAAGATAGCCAAGTTCCATATAAAATGACAAAAATGTGGCAATTTATTGCTATTTACAATTTGAATTCACTAATTAAATAAAATTATATTTTTTTATTCTGAAGCAAGGTAATTTTCTTAATTGTTTATGCTGAACAAAATGTTTGGTCTTCATTTAGATATCAACGCATTTCTCATAAAAAAGCCTTGTCAAGAGTACAAATATTTGAATTACTAAATTATTTTGAATTATATAATATTTTTATTTTTATTATTTGGTGTTTGTTTTATCCCATCTGATGTGAATAGGCCTTCACATTATCGTTATGAAACACAGAACATGGAGGAAATTATAAATAACAACATGTGACACATGGTTAGTTACTCGTTTCCTTAAAGTCATATTAAATAAAATTATATTTTTTTATTCTGAAGCAAGGTAATTTTCTTAATTGTTTATGCTGAACAAAATGTTTGGTCTTCATTTAGATATCAACGCATTTCTCATAAAAAAGCCTTGTCAAGAGTACAAATATTTGAATTACTAAATTATTTTGAATTATATAATATTTTAATTTTTATTATTTGTTTTATCCCATCTGATGTGAATAGGCCTTCACATTATCGTTACGAAACACAGAACATGGAGGAAATTATAAATAACAACATGTGACACATGGTTAGTTACTCGTTTCCTTAAAGTCACGATTGAATGAAACATCAACTTGACAAAAACACAGCAGAGGAATCTCATAACAGCCTTCTGGACAGCTAATGGCAGTTACAGGCTTTGAATCAATGTGTTAGTTCATCAGCTCCTAACATTAGCTGACTTGAGCTGTTATAATCTCTGAGAACATGTATGACAAAAACAGGTTATTAATATAACTGTAATTAACTTCTGAATGACAGAGAGGGAAAATCGGAGAGAGAGAGAGACACTCACCTCACCCTGTATTCTCTCCTCCGCCTGAGAGAAGCACGGAAGAAAAGAACGACAGATAGATAGTAAGATGCTAAAGAAATGGAAGTTCATAGTGATGAAAAACAGAAATACAGATGAAAAAGATCTAAGACAGGGCTGCATGATTTGGTCAAATTATTTTGACAAATATTGTGCTTTTGAATGGCAACATAATAAAGATTTAAAGCACTCACAGTGCTTTGATGTCAAAGCTAAATAAATAAATAAACATAAGTGTGTTCACACTTGTTCTCTTTAAAGGAACTAAATTGAGACCACTTTCAGCTGACTTGAAAATCTGTGAAAAAAAAAAAAATCACAAATTTACGTGAACTTTATTTAATTATATTAGGGTGCGTTCACACTTGGCATGTTTGGTTCGATTAAAACGAACCCTGGTGCGATTGCTCTGTTAGTGCGGTTCGTTTGAGTAAGTGTGAACGCTGCTATCCGAACACTGGTGCGCACCAAAGCAAGCGGACCGAAACCGCTGAAAAGATGGGTCTCGGTCCGCTTCCAAATGAACTCTAGTGCTGTTCGAATCAAATATGAACGCAACACGGACCAAATACTTCTAAACGAACCAAAAACAGGAAGTAATGACAAGATGCGACATGATCTGATGACGCGGTGTAACCAAAACAAAACGAACAAACGTGGAGCAACGATGAGGTAAAGTGCCTTTTATGAGCTCCTTGAGAGTTTGCAGGTGGAGAAAATAAAATTATATGTACACGCAAGAATGAGAGCGCTTAGTCCAGCAGACGGCATTAGGTGTGTTCAACTTAAAGCGGCGCTGAGCAGACTGATCGGTTAATGGATGCTTTGATATCATACACCCGCACCTTTTGTTTGGGGTGTTCGGTGAGTTCCGTCACGATATATACGTCATTCAAGCCGACCAATCAGGTTGTGAACGTATCACTATGCCTTTAGGTTCGCTGTCAAAAACACCAATGTAAACGCTAAGCGGACAAGGACCAAATGTATAATTTTCCTTTTTGGTCCGGACCAAATGAACCAAACTACAAGTGTGAACACACCCTTAGATTCATTTTAAAATAGACTTGATTTTAATTTAATTAATTTTGCAGCCCTAGATAGTAATGACATTAAATGTGTTTTTAATAAATCATTGCTAAATTGTTTCACTATTTACATACCATATGGGTTAAACAGCTGTGTATGTACTTATGAGTAGGGATGCACCGATACCGATACTGGTGTCGGTATCGGGTCCGATACTGAGCTTCTGTACTCGTACTCGTTAAAATGCCCCGATACCAAACGCCGTGAGTTCCGTCACGATATATACGTCATTCAAGCCGACCAATCAGGTTGTGAACGTATCACTATGCCTTTAGGTTCGCTGTCAAAAACACCAATGTAAACGCTAAGCGGACAAGGACCAAATGTATAATTTTCCTTTTTGGTCCGGACCAAATGAACCAAACTACAAGTGTGAACACACCCTTAGATTCATTTTAAAATAGACTTGATTTAAATTTAATTAATTTTGCAGCCCTAGATAGTAATGACATTAAATGTGTTTTTAATAAATCATTGCTAAATTGTTTCACTATTTACATACCATATGGGTTAAACAGCTGTGTATGTACTTATACCGATACTGGTGTCGGTATCGGGTCCGATACTGAGCTTCTGTACTCGTACTAATTAAAATGCCCCGATACCAAACGCCGATACCACACAGCATGTGATCAGTGCCATATTCAAACAAAGAAACACCGACAACAGAACAACAGACAGCAGAAAGGAGTTAAGGATGTCTACTACGAAGTATATGTATGCAATGAATATAACATTAAACATTCAGTATTAACGCCTGTATAGCTGATGTGTGCGAGCTGATAAACAAAGCACGCGGCGGCACAGATGTGCGAGCTTGTCGAGTGAATATATCTTTCCCACAGACATCACTGGAAAGTTTGTAGTTCGGTCGGTTAACTGTCAAAAACAAGTAAAACATTGCACAAGTTGACCAACAATTATTCAGACCGAGTCTGGGAATAAACTGAAGTTGAGGTTTGCATGAAGCTGGGTGACAGCATGCCCAGGAGACTACAGGTGTCTGAATAAATGTTGGTTTGACTGTATCTATTTGATAAATTAAGTTAACCAACTAACATTATACATACTCTTTTGGTTTCTGTACCCAATATTTAAAAAATTTACAAATGCAATAAAAATATTGATATCGGTACTCGGTATCGGCAAGTACCAAAAATAAAAGTATCATATCGGGCGAGTACTGGAAAAAGTGGTATCGGTGCATCCCTACTTATGAGTGAATCAGAGAATGAAATACATATTTGACACATTTTTATTTTTAAATAACGTTGTTTATACTGTGGGGTGGGAATCTGTTTTTTTTTTGTACAAAAACAGGTCTGTTCTTTATCCAGGCTATAGCTCACATCAGCACCCAGTCATGTGCAGCAGTTCAAGTAACAGCTCCATGTTCAGTAAGGAAAGCAGAGAACGCTTCTTCAACTCTCTTTGCTGTGAGGCTCCAATAAATCAGCAGGAGCAGACGGGCAGTTTCACTCGTGACAGTCTAGCGCCGTACGGCACGTGTGTGAAGCTCTGGAGGGAAGAAAAGTGCTGGGATACTTACTGAGGAGTAGCTGGAGGAGGCATTAGACGCCAGTGAGAGCACTGAGCCATGAACTGCAGGTGGAAGAAGAGAGAAATACACACAAGTGTGAGTTTAAAAGCATTAAAATACCTAAATCCTACATTGCAGCAAATTCAGATTATTTATCGTACATATCCTGCGTTGTGTTTTACCATTTGTTGAGTCACATTTAGTTTACAGAGCTATGTTTTAGCGCAAAAATAGTTAGAGAGTCACTTTTGCAGACATTTTGATTCAAAGGCGACGATAGTAATATTTTGTCCATTGTGGGATTCTTGCAACCTTTGCCAGTCCAGATATTTCATCTGTACGCCTCATGTAGACTGTACCATATGAACCCAGAGTCTCACCGTCATCGCAGGCTTCTCTGTCTCTGAAGGAGCCGGATCGGATCATGCTCTTGGGTCGCTCGGCGAGCGATAGGGTGCTGCCCAGAGGAGAGCCCTGATACAGCTCAAAACTGGCCTCGTGAGCAGGGATGCTGTTGGATCTGGTCATTCTTGGCGTTCCTGAGGTGGGGCTGGGTGCTACTGCACATAACAGAACAGCAGAGGGAGACAGAGGTTATATATGATATAAAGCACAGTAACATTAGATGAAGGTGCCTTGCATACTGCCTGTGAAATCAATTAATGTAAATGCAATTTTATAAAAACTTTTTTTTTTTCAGAATTTATTGTTATAAACAAAAAATAGCCATTTATTCGGTTTCTGAAATATATTTCAAATTATGATAGTTGAATGTTCTAAATGTTAATCAATGCTGTCTTTAAAATATTAATTCTTTATACTTTTTTTTGGTCAAAGAGAGTGTAAATAACTGCAAGAAATGTTTAAAGAAACCATATTTTTACAGCGGTCACAATAATCATACTTTATCTGTGTATGAGTTTGTGTAATATATGTTAATTATATATGTAATTTTTATTTCAAAAATAATTTGTTTTTTTTAATACAAAAATTCTCAATTCTTTTCAACGCAAAAGTATGTATATTTTACATTTCTAAAAAACCCTTTTACTTATAAAATATTTACAAGTATTTACAAAAAAATACAAGCATTTTATAAAAATAATTTTAAATTATATATATATATATTACATTTACATTTAGTAATTTAGCAGACGCTTTTATCCAAAGCGACTTACAAATGAGGACAATAGAAGCAATCAAAACTAACAAAAGAGCAACAATATATAAGTGCAAATGACAAGTCTTGGTTAGCCTAACGCAGTACACGTAGCAAGGTATTTATATATATATATTCTTAGAATATTTTTTGGTACAAAAGAGTGTAAATAACTGCAAGAAATTTTTAAAAGAAACCATATTTTTAAAATGATCAAACTCCAAGATATTAACAATAAATTCTCCATCTTAAGAATGTTCCAGAAAGCCTCTGAAGTGTTCAGTCACTTACTGATGCTCGTCAGTGGTGTTTTTCCTGTCAGTATGGGTGAAGGGAACTGCGGCGGACTGTTGGTCTCAGTCAGGCTCACTATAGTGTGCGAGTGACGTCTCTCTTTACTGTCCTCCTCAGCCTGCGAGGAGATGTGCTGGCTGATGGGACATGAGGGTGTGACGTTACTTCATGGATTTACTACATCAAACCGTTTGCCCCATCAAGTGGAGCACCATCATAAATGATAAGTACCTTAAGCCTTTCTTTGGGAGAGTATTTCTGTCCCTTTGTGAGCTGAAAGAAAAAAAAATCTATGAGAAATAGAGCATTATTCTAATGCTTGTGCATGGAAATGAAGAGATCAGACACCACAAATAGACCACAGCAATTTGTAAAGCAAAATGAGCAATTAGTAGTTATATAGTAGAGATATAATCACAGTGTTAACATAATAGGCAATTGTTCTGCTTTGATTTTTGGGTGGATGTGGGCCGAGTGCAAATGTGCTGTAATGTGGCCCTCTGGAAGAATATTAAACTTTAGTGTGTAAGGTAAGAATGACTTTGACTGATAACCACTGAGTGGAGGTGTGCTGTTACTTTTATAAGTGATCTGACATATGACTCTTGCTTGGTAGACAACAAAACAGATGGAAAAAACAGCATAGATTTACATTTAAAAGTGCAGTCTATAATATTGACAGCTAGCGGTTGAAAATTCAAAACACTGGAGAGAGTTGTTCCTCCTCAGACTCGACGTTCATGCGGGTTGCCAGATTGAGGACACGCAACAGGAACGGGCGCAAATGACAATGGAAGATGACAAGCCTTAATACTATAATACTACAAGACCGTTTTAATATGCCTCTGGTCATAGAGCTTTTTAGATGGGTGCCGAGTCTTTTTAGGTCGGGCAGAATCTGCGATGTCTGACCCAGTTTGTTTGCTGGTTTCCATGACTGCAATACGCTACGTTTTCCAACAACTGGCAACCCGGGGTGTCGGAATACTATTGGGTAAACAGGCAGTGGGCGGAGTCACACAGACCAAAACAAAAACAGACATTCCGACACGGAACACACATTTCAAAGCAGAATAACTGTACCAATAGCATTGGTTTTTTGGACAAACACGTAAGTGAAATATCTGCAAACATGGTATTTTATGCTTCAATACAGTCAAAAAATGACATACAAGACCTTTACAGAGATGTGAGTAACACCTGCTAACAGTGACCTAGCAACTACAAGACAAGAATGTTGGTAACCAAACAGTTGGTGGTAGCCACTGACTTCAATAGTATTTTCCCCCTACTATTTACGTCAATGGCTGCTGTTTGGTTACCAACATTCTTCAAAATATCTTCGTTTGTGTTCAACAGAAGCTCAACTGCTGTTTCCAACGTCCAAATGATGACTAACCCCTCCAATCATAATGCTGCAGTGCTGTGAAACGATAAATGATGCTAGAGAAACAGCAGAAAGCATCTGAATGTAAACAGACCTCTGAAAGAACGAGAGCGGTTTACAGGCAGAGAAACAGCACTGTGAAGAACGACTCCTCTGGACACAGATGCAATTCTGTGCAACGGACATAGCAGAGTCTTCATCAATAAGAAACGGATAAAGAGTCGGCTATAGATCAGAGCTCTGATGGAGGGAGATGAGCTGCTGAATTGAAACATTAATGAAGTCAATGTCCCTTAAACAAATAAGAGATTTCCTGGCTCATGACCCTCATTAGCCTTCAGCTCTGCGGTGGCCTGCACAGAAATAATGAGCAAGATTAAGCCTGTGAGCTATTGTCCGGTTTTAAACTGACTAAGCAAGCGTTAACAAAATTTGGTGGTGGTTTTTATAAAGGAAGCCACATAAAAACAGAGAGGCCATGTGTGGCAAAGAGCGGCATGAACCTTGTGGTGAAAATAACTTCGAATAACAGGAAGAGTGAGCTGCTTTTAGATGTTTCCACTGGCACACCCAGTGATGAGCTGCTGCTTTGAACATGACACAGAATATATTAGTTTTGGTCATTTATGTGGGATGGCTGCTGTTTTAGGCCAGAGACAGGAAATGACCACGGTTACAGATTTATATATTTTTTTGTATTTTGTATTCTTGTGATGTAGATGAATTAATGAAAGACATCATTTGGTTTGTTTCTAATTTTTGGTTCATGATATGATATATGATATATTATATATGATATGATATTTGATATGGTATCATTTATGATATGATATTTGATATGGTATGATATATGATATGAGATTAGGGCTGCACGATAAATCGCATGTGATATTTAATGCGCATCTTGTCAGAAAGCCGGTTCTGTAATCAGCAGTAAATCTCCATCACCTGCTGGCTTTCACATTGAACAGCATTAACTAGCCGTTGTTCACTGACGAGCTCCGCATTAATGCTGTTCAATGTGAAAGCCAGCAGGTGATGGAGGTTTACAGCTGATTACAGAACCGGCTTTAATGATAAGATGTGTGTTAAATATTGCATGCGATTTATCGTGCAGCCCTATATGAGAATATATATGATATGATATATGATATATGATATGAGATATTATATGATATGAGATATGATATGATATAATATGATATATGATATTTGATATTGTATGATATATGATATGAGATTATATATGATATATGATATGAGACATGATATATGATATGATATAATATGATATATGATATATGATGTATGATATGATATTTGATATGGTATATGATATGGTATGATATGATATATGACATGATATATTATATGATATATGTATTCTTTACAAACTATTTATTATATTAATTGTAAAATAATGTAAATATAATGAAATAATGAATTTATAATAGTCATCATGTTTGTTACAGAGATGTGAGTAACACCTGCTAACAGTGACCTAGCAACTACAAGACAAGAATGTTGGTAACCAAACAGTTGGTGGTAGCCACTGACTTCAATAGTATTTTCCCCCTACTATTTACGTCAATGGCTGCTGTTTGGTTACCAACATTCTTCAAAATATCTTCGTTTGTGTTCAACAGAAGCTCAACTGCTGTTTCCAACGTCCAAATGATGACTAACCCCTCCAATCATAATGCTGCAGTGCTGTGAAACGATAAATGATGCTAGAGAAACAGCAGAAAGCATCTGAATGTAAACAGACCTCTGAAAGAACGAGAGCGGTTTACAGGCAGAGAAACAGCACTGTGAAGAACGACTCCTCTGGACACAGATGCAATTCTGTGCAACGGACATAGCAGAGTCTTCATCAATAAGAAACGGATAAAGAGTCGGCTATAGATCAGAGCTCTGATGGAGGGAGATGAGCTGCTGAATTGAAACATTAATGAAGTCAATGTCCCTTAAACAAATAAGAGATTTCCTGGCTCATGACCCTCATTAGCCTTCAGCTCTGCGGTGGCCTGCACAGAAATAATGAGCAAGATTAAGCCTGTGAGCTATTGTCCGGTTTTAAACTGACTAAGCAAGCGTTAACAAAATTTGGTGGTGGTTTTTATAAAGGAAGCCACATAAAAACAGAGAGGCCATGTGTGGCAAAGAGCGGCATGAACCTTGTGGTGAAAATAACTTCGAATAACAGGAAGAGTGAGCTGCTTTTAGATGTTTCCACTGGCACACCCAGTGATGAGCTGCTGCTTTGAACATGACACAGAATATATTAGTTTTGGTCATTTATGTGGGATGGCTGCTGTTTTAGGCCAGAGACAGGAAATGACCACGGTTACAGATTTATATATTTTTTTGTATTTTGTATTCTTGTGATGTAGATGAATTAATGAAAGACATCATTTGGTTTGTTTCTAATTTTTGGTTCATGATATGATATATGATATATTATATATGATATGATATTTGATGATATATTATATATGATATGATATTTGATATGGTATCATTTATGATATGATATTTGATATGGTATGATATATGATATGAGATTAGGGCTGCACGATAAATCGCATGTGATATTTAATGCGCATCTTGTCAGAAAGCCGGTTCTGTAATCAGCAGTAAATCTCCATCACCTGCTGGCTTTCACATTGAACAGCATTAACTAGCCGTTGTTCACTGACGAGCTCCGCATTAATGCTGTTCAATGTGAAAGCCAGCAGGTGATGGAGGTTTACAGCTGATTACAGAACCGGCTTTAATGATAAGATGTGTGTTAAATATTGCATGCGATTTATCGTGCAGCCCTATATGAGAATATATATGATATGATATATGATATATGATATGAGATATTATATGATATGAGATATTATATGATATGAGATATTATATGATATGAGATATGATATGATATAATATGATATATGATATTTGATATTGTATGATATATGATATGAGATTATATATGATATATGATATGAGACATGATATATGATATGATATAATATGATATATGATATATGATGTATGATATGATATTTGATATGGTATATGATATGGTATGATATGATATATGACATGATATATTATATGATATATGTATTCTTTACAAACTATTTATTATATTAATTGTAAAATAATGTAAATATAATGAAATAATGAATTTATAATAGTCATCATGTTTGTTTCTAATGCTCTGTGGACTAAATAAAGGAAACAAAAAAAATCATAAACAAGCAAGATTATTGCTATTATAAATATGACATAATACAAAAAGAAAAATATATATGGATGATTCTTAATAAAAAATGTTTACAATTATTTTAGTTTTAAAGGACAGATTATACTACTTTTATGAAACTTTTTATCATAATTAAATCAACACATTTTTCTAACTTTTAATAAGGAAATGTAATTAATTCCCAGTTCCTAGATTTTTATTTTCCCTTCTAACACAAAGTGATATAATATAATATAATATAATATAATATAATATAATATAATATAATATAATATAATATAATATAATATAATATAATATAATATAATATAATATAATATAATATAATATAATATAATATAATATAATATAATATAATATAATATAATATAATATAATATAATATAAAAAAAACTATATAATATATTATAATGTTAATTATCAAGCATGATGGGGGAGATCTGATTTTGACTAAAAATTGTATTACAACACTGAGTAGAACATGAGACATTAAAATGTTCAGTCCATCTTCCTTCAAATCTCAAATGTGTATATAAGCTCATTTTTAGTGTGTTTAGAAGTAGACTAGCATAGCTCATGTTATCAGGTGAGCACAGACAGGAAGTGCAGTGATGACTGCAGAGACGGCCTCACCTGTCTGTCGTGAGCGTGAGTGAGGCTCTGCTTCCTGTCGACCAGCCACCATCCGTCCCTCTGTCCTCATGTCTGGGCCTGGGCTCCATCATGCTGCCCCCTGCAGGAGACACGCTCATCTGTAGTGACAAGGACTCCATGCTACGGTGTAGCCCAGAGAGGCGGGGGTAGAGCGAGGGAGAGCCGCCAGCGCTGCCCCCTCGGCCCACGGTGGCGCTGGAGAAACACTCAGAGGAGTTGACGTTGAGGATGGGAGCCGGACTGGGTGTCAGACAGCTTGTGCTGCTAATTCCTGACAGATCTTGTAATTTGGAGAAGGGCGGCACTTTTGGAGGAAGCTGGTCCTCCACGCTGATTATCCCAAAGTCCAGGCTGTTGGAGTTGACCTTGTCCAGGTGAGCAGGTTTGGGCAGAGATCTGGCACTGGAGGGCCTGTGAATGCCATAATACAGAGATGGGTTCAAAACCAGATGCACAAATAACTCACACAATAGAAATGAAAAATACATATGGCTGATTCCTAATGTACAAAAAATGTACACCTTTCAACGTTTGATTGTAATTAAAGAGGTATTTTGCTTAGTTTCCCATCTAAAAAGTGTTAAAAGTGTTTCATATAATATAATATAATATAATATAATATAATATAATATAAAAAAAACTATATAATATATTATAATGTTAATTATCAAGCATGATGGGGGAGATCTGATTTTGACTAAAAATTGTATTACAACACTGAGTAGAACATGAGACATTAAAATGTTCAGTCCATCTTCCTTCAAATCTCAAATGTGTATATAAGCTCATTTTTAGTGTGTTTAGAAGTAGACTAGCATAGCTCATGTTATCAGGTGAGCACAGACAGGAAGTGCAGTGATGACTGCAGAGACGGCCTCACCTGTCTGTCGTGAGCGTGAGTGAGGCTCTGCTTCCTGTCGACCAGCCACCATCCGTCCCTCTGTCCTCATGTCTGGGCCTGGGCTCCATCATGCTGCCCCCTGCAGGAGACACGCTCATCTGTAGTGACAAGGACTCCATGCTACGGTGTAGCCCAGAGAGGCGGGGGTAGAGCGAGGGAGAGCCGCCAGCGCTGCCCCCTCGGCCCACGGTGGCGCTGGAGAAACACTCAGAGGAGTTGACGTTGAGGATGGGAGCCGGACTGGGTGTCAGACAGCTTGTGCTGCTAATTCCTGACAGATCTTGTAATTTGGAGAAGGGCGGCACTTTTGGAGGAAGCTGGTCCTCCACGCTGATTATCCCAAAGTCCAGGCTGTTGGAGTTGACCTTGTCCAGGTGAGCAGGTTTGGGCAGAGATCTGGCACTGGAGGGCCTGTGAATGCCATAATACAGAGATGGGTTCAAAACCAGATGCACAAATAACTCACACAATAGAAATGAAAAATACATATGGCTGATTCCTAATGTACAAAAAATGTACACCTTTCAACGTTTGATTGTAATTAAAGAGGTATTTTGCTTAGTTTCCCATCTAAAAAGTGTTAAAAGTGTTTCTAAGAACTTTAAACATGTCACTACTATTATCACATCAACAACATTAAAGAACAATATTTTTCAATAATATGCTTGTTATATACTTTGCTGATTACATTCTATTGATTAAATCAATGGTTATCATGGAAATGTGACACGAGTGCACACCTCTACCACATCAACATACTTACAGTTTAAATAATTAATTAATATAAAATAAATTAAGTTACAGTTTAAAAAATCAATTAGTCCAGAATTCAGAATTATGATCTCAAATTATTATAACATTAAAATTATTATTACAAGTCAGTACTATTTCAGTATCATATATATATATATATTTTTTTTTGTTTGTTTTTTAAATGCCGTTTATCGCATACTCTTCATATATATATATATATATATATATATATATATATATGAAGAGTGTGGCTCCAAAACGAGATTACTCTGTTTTTTTACATTTTCAAAAATCATGTTTTTTATTATGTTGTCATGTTCAATATAATAAAATAACCTAACTGCAGTTTGATTGAGATTAATTGAAATGTACAATGAAAAAAACATGATTCTTGAAAATTGTTAAAAACTGAGTTATCTGCTTTTGCAAATGAACTCTTCATATTTTTTTTTTTTCAGTGAAAAAGTCGTCTCATCTGAATCAGGAGAGAAATATGCACTGGTCAAGCACTGTTTACAAGTGAAAACAGCCCAATACAGTCCTATGTCAGTGGATTTTTATGTGGGAGGAAAAGAGGGGATGGACTTTTTCACTGGAGGAAGCATTATTATGGATTATGAACTCATATTTTGGCCAAAAGCAAGTGTTTAAAGTTAAAACGTCTAAATGATTTGTTTCTTTACACAGAGCCGTAGATCACTGCTATATCGCATTCATAATCGCAGATGAGTTGCATTCGAGTATGAACGCAATACTGCGTAGCTTGTCAGTGTAAGTGTTTTTATTTATGCCATTTATGTTTTTGTTAATACAGCGTATTGGTTAATACAGCGTAAAGCACTAGTCAACTAAATGAATGTAACATGGCAAAGATGAATGCACTTTTGGAAGTTGAATGTAAGGGAAATGTCATTTTGGAATTTCTGTGGTTTAATGTGATGTTGTTCATGTATGTTCATGATGAAATATTCTTTTATTGTTGTAATTAATTTATAGCATTAACAAGATGACCCGTTGAATTCATTTTGGGAGCGATGACTGATTGAATGCATTTTTAGTCCAGTGCCTGCATATAAGATTAGTATTGACCAAGTTCAGAGGCTGTCATATGTGGATCAACTTACTATGTTGTATATTTTCATCAGTTTCAATATGAAAAATAACTGTTATATTGATTCAATGGATTTATTGCATTTTGGAGAGAAAAAAAAAAGTGTCATGGATTTATTGCGGTTTGGGAAAAATATATAAATATATATATATATATACAGTGGGTACGGAAAGTATTCAGATCCCCTTAAATTTTTCACTCTTTGTTATATATATATATATATATATATATATATATATATATATATATATATATACTGTATATATTCATATATTCAGTATATTTATGTAAATATATTTTTTCAGTTTTCATTTTAGTTTAAGTTTTAGTAATTTGATGTGCTTTTGTCATTTTTTACAAATGACTATTTTTTTCAGTTTTAGTTTTTTCAGATTTAAATTTTTTTCAAGTAATTTCAGTAAAATTTCTAACAAGTTTTTGAAGTTTGGAAATTTTGGAAATAATTTGTTTCTTTATATATATATATATTATTGACTGCAAGCTATTTGTTTTTAGTTAGGAAGTTCAAAACTATTTCAAAAACACAATTTCAAAAATCATACCAAAATTAAAAACCATGTTAAGAACCTTATTTCAGGACAGTGAATAAATGTTTTGGCATAGATTAAATTGAAAAGGTGTCATTTTGCAAGATTTCCAGTCAATTTCAAGTAATTTTTATTTATTTATTAATTTTTGTTTAAAGAAAACTCTGTGTGAACGTGAAAAATCACAGCCACACTGAGGTTGAATAAACAGCTATGTGGAGGAGGTTCATCTCACCTCTGAGAGTTGGGAGAGGGCAGCTCTGAATATTTGCCCACGCTGGATGGCAGCCGAAGTCCCAGTAGTTTGGAAGGAGGCTCCAGCGAGCTCTGTGTTGGTGTCAATGTGCCGTTCTTTAGCAGGCTGCCTCCACCACACTCAGAATCAGACGCCACTGCCTTGGCTTTGGCCTTCTCCTTCTCACGGTCCGTCTGGTTGACTGGAGTGCACCCTCCTGTACTGGCCCGATGGGAGCTCTTCACACTGCCTGGTTCCTTCAGTCTAGACGGGGTGGGGACTGTTTTTAGGCCCTGCAAACCAGCCTCCATGTTGCTGCTGAAGGGACGAGCGCCCGGCCGTCCTCCCGTCAGACTCAAGGTGCTGGACTTAGCAGGTCTCGGGAGACTACGATACTGGATGTTGTTGCGTACGTTCGGAGCCATGAAACTTTGATCACAGTTCAACACATCAAGACTGGTCTTTCGTCCTCCACCTACCCCACCGGCAGAGGGTTTCACTGGGATACCAGAGGTTTTAGGAGTTTTGTTCACAATAGGAGAGTCTCCGGAGATGGTGCTTCCACTATTTGTTAGTACAGTGGCAGTGCCGGTAGTTGGAATGGATTTCTTGTAACCAAAGGAATGAACCGTGCTGGCGGAGGGCCGGACAAGACCGGAAGGGGGTTTTCGGTGCTCACCACGATCTTTCCCTGCATCCGAACTGGAGCGCTGTAAGCCTGATGTTTTCACTGCCGTTTTGGCTTTGTCCACGACTCGCTGATCGTTCTTTGGAACTGCAGGTATAAAAATAAACACAATCAGACATGAGTAACCTGTGGTGGACAGTAATGAAGTATTCTTACTTTGTTACTGTATTTAACATTTTTCAAGTATCTGTACTTTATTAGTATTTTTATTATGAGAAACTTTTACTTCACTACATTTCAAAGCATAATATTGTACTTTATACCCCACTACGTTTCTTAAAAATGTGTCGTTCCTCGTTATTTTGAACTGGAGAAATCATCACCTGCTCTGAGATGCAATAGCGGTGTCTGATTCACGAACGAGCAGATTCTTTTCAATGTACCTTTGCAAATCACACTGAACAATTCATTCTCAAATTGGACTGAACGGATCGCAGCTGTTCTTGAGTCAACAACTCACTGATTCACATGATCCGGTCAGAGCGAGTCTCCAGAAAATAACTCACTGATTCACATGATCCTGTCAGAGCGAGTCTCCAGTCAACAGTTGGTCTCCTCCGCGTCACCCTGGTGCCATTTTGGAGAATATCCACTGAATGTAAACAGCGTACGCAGAGGAGATGAAGTGTTGAATAAAGTCGTTATTTTTGTTTTCTTTGCTTACAAAAAGTATTCTCGTAGCTTCGTAATATTACGGTTGAAACCCTGATGTCACATGGATTATTTTACCGGCCTCCTTGCTACGTTTCTGGACCTTGATCGTGGTAATTACATTGCTGTCTATGGGAGGGTCAGAGAGCTCTCAGAATTCATCAAAATTATCTTAATTTGTGTTCCGAAGATGAACGGAGGTCTTACGAACGACACGAGGGCGAGTAATTAATGACAGCATTTTCATTTTGGGGTGAGCTAACCCTTTAAACAGAGTAAAGGAAGTGGGTACGGCACAACTGTTACAGTACTGTCAACATGAAATGGGTGAACTTGCAAAGCCCGCCCTCATGGCCATCTGGATCTTCTCAAGGATATTTATACATATGCGGCAAAAAACGAGGCCAAAATGCTAGTGCAATCGTGACTCAATCTCCGGGCGAATTGGAAAACACACATACAGAAGAGATTGTTGGCAAACTTGAAAATTGGCTTTACTATAACAACATCATCCATGGTATGCGAAAACACATTGCTGGAGTAACTTAAGCATTTAAACGGCTCAATTAGCATAACAAATAAAAATAGAGCAATAGTGAAATACGGCGTGTATTTCGTCTGTCATGAGGCGCTGTAATTCACACTGCTGCACACCCAGGATGATGGCCAACACAAGTAAATACAGCTGACATCAACTTGAGATGGAGGTTAGATGTGAAAAGTATTATGTTGAGTTGGAATAATTTAGGCCATTAGCAGATGATGACTGCATTAAATGCTAGCATGATCGTATCAAAGGATACAAGGGGGGAAAGACACATTTCTTACACGTTTGTTTAGACTGGAGGGAAACAGTAAAAGTGAGTCAGAAACAGAAAGAGAGAAAGAGTAAACGGAAACTGGAAAAACTGGACAGGGAGGAAAAGTGGCTAACCGAAAGAGTAGCTATCAAACTGACAGAGATACAGCTGAGAGAAGAGGAGTGGAGATAGATGTCATTTGTCTGCCTGATACTACATCACTATAACGGCAGGCTTGTACAACAAAATATATACTTTGCGTTAAACATGGTATTATTATTCAAGACTGTGTCTTAGAATAACGTGTCAGTGCAGCGTGCAGCTGTTATTAGCCGTGTTTGCTAATGCAAATGCCACTATAACTATTGCTCATACTTAAGGTTTGGATATAAAAAAAAATACATGCAACCTCTCAGTTCACCTTTTCATGCTTAATCAACCACATTCTACAACCTTGAAAAATACAGGTCATGTAGCGACAACCGCTCTCACAGAAATTCTTCGTAGTGTGTACAGAGCTGAACAACTAGTTATTAATGACGTATTTAAACATGTATCAGAACTGTATTCTGTATGTGCTGTGCAAAAAATCACAAGGAACAAGTTGTTTTGACTCATTAGTGTTGCCAGATCATGCTAGAAAAAAACAACAACAAATAAGAACAAGGTCATAATAAACCAAACTCTTTATATTAGAAATAAGTCAACATATCCTGACCTGCACCTACATATTTTAATAACTCCATAAACTGGATCGCTTTATGAGTCGAGCCCAAATAACAACCCAAAACTGCTTAATAATCATTGCTTATAATAAGTGGACATGGCAACACGAGCACTCGCTGTGAAGCAGCCTTTTAAACTAGCAAAACACAATGGCTTTGTCTACAATGGTTTAGTTAAAATCACAAAACATAATGAGTCTTTGGTCGCTGTAATATTACTTTGATCAAAAATTGCAGTCAGACACAGAAATGTTGCTATGGTTACCATGATATCAGTCATAGCAATTTAGGGGATTCACTCCTGTATTTAAATGTGGTTGTCATTCCTGAAATGTTACAGTATGTACGTGGCCTAAAGCCTCAAGTATACTTCTGTTTCAACGTGAACACATATTGCAGAGCCTAACACATAGCCTTTTAAATGTATACTTCGTTTGATAAGTTGTGCGAATACAGGTGCTCTACACATACACACTAGAAAGTTTCCTCCCTTACACAAGCACTCCTCAACAAGGTAGTAAATTGTTGTTGTCCTGTTACTCAATTGTGACACAAAAGTCATGTCCATAATTGCATATTAACAATCTGAATAAGGACTTACTATATAGTAGGGAAGTAGTTATTATTCACATGCTTTATTTGAAAAAATTTGTTCAGATTTGTTAATGGATTCATTCAGTTACTCTTTTCACAGGTTACATCAGCAGATTAGTAGGTGACGATGATTATTTGTTGTATGTTATGAGTGAGTCACTCAAATGATTCAGTGTGGTACGGGTAAGTCATATATGATTCTTAAAAAAAATTTATTATTCTTTATTCATTAAATTATTCTTTAAAAAAACACAACAGTTCAGTAAAGCCCTTTTGTCTTCTTAATTGTCTCATCATAATTTATTTTTATTAGTGTTGGGCAACAATTAATTTTGTTTAAAATCGCGATTAATCACATTATTTTTCTGCGATTAATCGCATTGTTATGCGTAAAATTCAATAATGAATTCAAAAGTACTGTACTGCGCACTTTTATTTTGAAAGTACTGCTGTATGAACAAAAGTGCCATAACATTTGGTTTGCAAACACTTTAAACAAATAAGGTGCTTTTTTACAGCAGTATTCCCTTTACATAGTAGCAGTTAAAATATTTATTGAAAATCTGAACTTAAACATTAATGTAATCAAATTAAAATCTCCTTTTCATATAACTCGTGTATTCTTGTGATGATGCGTCTTGACACCATGTCTATACCGGACGCGAGCGGCGCGACGCGACAAAATACTATAGAACCCATTATAATCAGTGATGCTGTCTACACTGGATGTGGCGCGGCGCGACACGACAAATCATGTGTACAGCACCGCAACAGCTAAAGTCTGTCTACAATGACTGGACGCGTCACGGGACAAAGTGACCTTTGCAAATCATTTGAACTTTTCGTCAGTACGTCATAGATAGAACGAGGTTTACTGTCGGGGATTTGTCGTGTCGCGCCGCATCCAGTGTAGACCGCCTCACTGATTATAATGTTTCTATAGTACCGGTGTAGACACGGTGTTCGGCCCACCCCAAATGCTCAATTGGTTGAGACGCATGATGACACCCATCATAAACCAGTACCGATCAACATCCCACCTCTCCAGTGACCCATGGTTTCTGTATGTGTATTCAGAGCCAGTGAGCAACGGACTTTCAAAATAATAATAATAATACTAAACTGTGGTAATGTGCAATAAAATAATTGTCTGTGTTAATAACACGATAATAATACATTAACTTGCCCAGCCCTAATTTTTATACAATCACTATTCTCCCATCTCCTTTCTCACCTTGTGAACAAGATTAACTCACATGATGAAATGAATGAATTACATGCCCTTTCTCATTGTCAATCAGCAGTGAGTGAGTGACAGTGAGTGACGTGACATGTGGCCAAGTATGGTGACCCATACTCAGAATTAGTGTTCTGCATTTAACCCATCCAAAGTGCACACACACAGCAGTGAACACACACACCGTGAACACACCCGGAGCAGTGGGCAGCCATTTTTGCTGCGGCGCCCGGGGAGCAGTTGGGGGTTCGGTGCCTTGCTCAAGGGCACCTCAGTCGTGGTATTGAAGGTGGAAGAGAGCGCTATACATTCACTCCCCCCACCTACAATCCCTGCCGGTACGAGACTCGAACCCACAACTTTTGGGTTACGAGTCCGACTCTCTAACCATTCGGCCACGACTTCCCCACTTGTTTTTTTTTTGTTTGTTTTTTTGTCAGCGCATTGAAGGGATTCATTCACTTGAATGATTCGTTCTAAAACACTGATTCATGCTTAAATACAGGGCCCTTTTACCGCAGCCAAGAAAATCCATGAGATCAGCTCGTGCTGCAGCTATGGGATTGATCAGTCAGAGAGAATTATCGTCACTCTGTCTGAGGAACGAGATCCCATAAATAAGATTGATCGGTTCATTTCTCTCCCGGTTTATGAGAGGCCATATTTCATACACATATTGCATGACAGGGATTGAGGTTTCCAGTTCTATAACAATATTTTCAAATATGGAATATTTGAGATCCAATTCCAGTGGATGATAAATCATAAAGACAACACTGAATAAAAGCTGGTTAGTATGATATGTGGGTAGAATCATGTTTTTCCAGTGCCATCTCGTGTGCTCAGTCTGTCCAATCAAAGTGTCTGTCCACAGGGAGAGGCAGATAGCGCTGACACAGACGTTTGGCTTGCTGGTCAGTAACATCTACAAACTTGCTGAAAGACTAATGATTGCTTCTGTGCTCCACCGTCTCTGGGACAAACCACTCCAGCTCAAGCATTCGGCCAGTTTTTGTTCTGCTTGCATCTGGTTTGGCTGACAATGACTCAGGCTGCATTTACACTGCAAATCGTAATGCACAGATCCGATCTTTTGACCATATCTGATTTTTTGACCCATCTGATTACATTCACTTTTAGACATGACTGGTATCTGATATCTGTGTTTACATAATTCCCGCCCAAAATTATAGTCAATGATCACTTTACCATGCACATGGTAGACCCCTCTGGTTTTGGATGGCCGTGCTATTAAAATTATTTATATAATACACCATTATTATTTGCCAGCATGGACAACAGCTGTCATGGATGTTTTGCAGCACAAAATCTGACTGAACGGATAAATAACGGAAAATAACGGTAATTTTCATTTGTTAGGCTATTTTATCTACAGCTCGTTAGAGGTGGAATTATTTAGTGAAATATTTATTTAAATGAATTTGAATGAATTAACAAGAGAGAGAGAGAGAGCACGTGAAGCTTGTGAACAAGTGAAAGTTATCACATCATTGCTACGAAATATAATGTAGCTTTAGCGAAGTTGTTGTATTTATAAAATTCACGCGGCAGGGGTTGAAAACCAGCTCCTGAAAGTGCAATTTCTTACCTAGCCTACATAAAGTTGCACGTCTGACAAATGTGTCGCCCTCACATTGGGAGTTCCGCGGGGATTCGGATATGTGTGTTTAGACTTAGGTCAGATGTCCAGATATCAGATATATGTATCCGATTAAAATCCACATTCGGAAGTGGCTCAGATTGGATGTGGAAAAATTAGATCTCGTGCGGACTTTTGTGATTCCATGTGTGCAAAAAATTTCGATCTGTATCAAATGTGAGCAAAACAAATCAGATTTTTTGTGCCAGTGTAAATGCAGCCTTAGAGACCTGCATGCCCATTCTTTTTTTTCCCGGTGGATTTGGTATAAACAACTTAGAAAGATAACAATTGTGAGAAAAAAGTCTGATTTGTGATATAAAAATTTATGCAATTACCTTTTACCCCCCATGGCTGAAACCAAAAATAAACAAAAAAAGAGAGAGAGCGAGAGAAAAAAACCCCAGAACTGCTTAGATTTAACAGAAAAAAGTCTGAATTCTGAGTTTATGTTTATCTCACATTGAAATGTGAGAGAAAAAGTCGCAGTTATCTTTTTTATTTTTTATTCCATGGCAGATACATGCATCCTTAGGTTCTTATTCAAAAGTTTTAGATGAGTTTAAACAAATGTAATGAACAAGAAGTACTTACGAGCTAGTTCTTAACTCAAAAAAGACTCACAAAGCAGTCTCAAACTCATGATGTATCGCTCTGAATCTGGTCGCTGCAAGTAAACTCTTCCACTCATAAAAGAGCACGACATGGTATACATCTGAAAGTTTACTGTGACAATGCTTTGCTTTGGTGTCATGAAAAATTGGAAGAAAAATAATGTTTAATTTAAAACAACATCTTCACTCTGGAACAACAGAAACAATCCTGTTCCTGTTTTACAGTATATTGTGTTCTGCAAACTGTTGGGCTGCTTCCTCAAAAACTGATAATGGATTGGAATCAAGTGATGTTAGAAGCTGTGGAACTTCCAGATGGCATTGTAAACACAGTTTGGGGAAATATTGTGTAAATTAAAAAAACAATAAGTAAGTTAATATGTATTATTAGACACATTATTACTGTCTTTATTATATTACTGTATCATGGTTTCCACAAAAATGTTAAGCAGCACTGTTTTCAACATTGATAATAATCAGAAATGTTTCTTGAGCAGCAAATCAGCATATTAGAATGATTTCTGAAGGATCATGTGACACTGAAGACTTGAGTAATGATGCTGAAAATTCAGCTTTGAGCACAGGAATAAATTACATTTTACAATATATTCACATAGAATATAGTTATTTTAAATGGTAATGCTATTTCACTATATTACTGATTTTACTGATCAAATAAATGCAGCCTTGGTGAGCAGAAGAGACTTTCGAAACCATTAAACAAAATCTTACTAACCCCAAACATATGTATGCAAAGGGATCATCACATCATCCTATTTGGCAGTCCTTGGCATAAAAAAAAACAATTCAGTAACAAAATAATTGTCCGTATTTGGCAAGTAACAATTAGCTATTACATTGAAATATTGCTCCAAGACAGGACAATCTACTTTGCTTTCAATAAATTCCCATTCTTTGGTTCTCCTAGAAAACTGATTTCTTGTAGTGGCTGACATGACAGCTTCACTGAAACTGTAATTTGGACACAAAACATCTAAAGTCTGTTTTCTGAATAAAGCGGATCGAGTTGCGCAGTTCACTGGGTGCAACTGCTTACATTTCATCAATCTGTCATTCATCCTCTTCTGTGCGTTCGAAAGCTCGACCACATTGGCCACCGCATGAATGGCAGGCATATGCACAAGTGTTGACGTTCTGGCTACATGTCAACACACACTGACTGAACGAAAGACTAAACATGGCTGCCTTTCATTAAAGTGACATCATGACGCGTTTCTTTTTGGATACATGGGTTTATTTTTTAACATGTACAGTAGAGCATCCAGATGGTCTCTTTCAGGTCCAGCTGCATAAACGCTGTGCTCCCCACCTTGCCTCTCGATTTGTTGGAAATTAAAAACGGATCCCCGCGAGGTGGCATTAAATGTACAAGAAAAAGTATCAACTGGTTTCTTGGAGCTCTTTTAATTCGAAGAGCTCTTTCAAATCTACGGTTGTAAACTGCGAAGGAGACTGGGTCTAAAAACATCAGCTTTGATGCATTCGCTGGACAAGGAATAGTGGGGGGTTTTAGGAGATTTAGGGTTTTTAAGAGCTGTTATCACCCCCGACCCCCCTGCCGCCCAGTGGAGGACAACAGCTGGCAAGATCTGGTGCCAATCCTCCACTCCAGCACTGAGCCGAACAGGGCGTCTTTCTCTAGCAGCTATTCTACCCATGCAGAATCAGGCTTTGTTGGAGCTCTGCATCGGATCTAATGACCCAGCACTAACTGCCATCAGCTGAGTTTGCCATTGAGACAGAGGACTGCATTCAAAGATGAAGCCGATTAGAAAAGAGTCGCTTTGTTTCTAGATGAGGTCAAAGCCATTGATAATGGACTCTGTAATCACTTCACGGTTTGTTGACTCAAAGGTCACCTAATGCTCTCAGACGATAACATTAAAACCCAATAGAAAAGAAGAATCACCAACGAGATCTCTTTAATGCCTTAATTGTTTTGTCTAGACCACAACGAGGTTACATGGAGAGCAAATTGAGACTTTTGCTTAAGACTCATGCATCTCAGATTTTTCTCCAAACAGATCTCAACGATGACACAAATCAAGAATCAAAAGTAAAAGATCTCAATGTGAACTCAAACACTTCATCAAACAATGTGACAATAATTATGTATATTATTATTGCTGATACCTGATGAATTATTTACTATTTTGTCTAAATAAATTTGAAATAAATCACTGAAAGCTACGATCAATGAAAAATCTGTAATTATTTACAGATTACATTTAATAACATTATTAAATTCTTAATGTTTTTACAAATGTAATATAAAACATTTTAGATAAACATTAAAACTAAATGTAAAACAGGTGATATCTGCTGATATATGTAATAAATATATATGTATGTGATATTTAGATATTTAGTTACATATTTAGAAAAATATATTTATATATATATATATATATATAATACATGTAACTTATGCTATGCATTACAGGTAAAGTTGTAAATAATATTTGTCTTTCTTGCGCAGACTGATCATTTCACTTCATAAGATCTCAATAAGAGCAATGGGTATTAATTTTGTATTGCCAGTATATGTTTTTTTGACTCTCAAAGTGACGGTATCGGTTGACATGCATTTTATGAATAATCAAGGACCATGGTTTCAGTCAAAAATCTTATTTACTGTTCAACTGAAGAAAAAAAGTAATCTACATCTTGGATAGTCTGAGGGTGAGTAACTAGGGCTGCACGATTAATCGAATGCGATTGTCATGCGCATTTTGTTAGTAATGCCGGTTCTGTAATCAGCAGTAAATCATCATCACGTGCTTTCAGACTACACATAGCCGTAGTTCACTGACAAGTTACGCAAAAAATTCACAGAAAATTTTATTGCGCGATTATGAAATCGAAGAAATCGTTAGGCATGTGAAAATACCACATTTAATAACATATTTTTACTCCAAACTCACTTCATAACGTCAGTCGAGTGTTTGAAATAAATCCTTCTGTGAGATGATGTGGCTTTTTACACAGAATAAGGCACGCAACATATTTTATATTATTCTAAGCAGTGATAAAGGCATTGCATTATAAATATACTTTATTTTAATGAAAATTATAATGATAATAACTCAGATAAACCATATATTGTCATAATTGTGTGTTTATTAGTCACGCTGAATCAGTAAAAGCAGTTGAATCTTCTGTTTATTCAGCTGCAGCGATAGGCATTTCCTGGGTTTCTTCTGTGAGGCGTATTTGGAGTTTCAGCGCGAGAGCGCCCTCTGGCCTTCAGATGGAGATTTACTGCTGATCACAGAACCATGCTTCACTGAAAGATACGCATGACAATCGCAGCTTCTGTCGAATCACGATTTCAATTCCATTTTGATTTATCGTGCAGCCCTATGAGTAACAGTAACTTTTTATCTTTGTGTGAAAAATAATTGAGAACTCCATTAAGCTATGAAAGAGCAATACCTCTGAGAAAAGTTACTTTCGGGACAGTACATTTAAGTAATGCTTATTCATTAGATAATTCATGTCTGTGTTGGCAGGATTTGGAGGATGGAATGTCAGGAATCATGGGAGATTAATAACAAGGTTTCCATACCATCAGATGTATGTGTGTCTGAGTGTGGCATCACTAACCTCCTGGCACTTTGAGCATGCTCTGTGAGGTGTGCGTGATGGGGGAAGTCACGCCTACAGGAGGGTTACGGCTCTTCTTCAGTCCGCTGGGTGGGTGGCCAAGCGTCTGCGGTTTCCTCAGCTCACCCTTGACACCCGTGTCATCCTGAGATCTGCTTTTTTTCCACTTGCTGGAAGACTCCGCCTTAAGGCTGCCCGTGTCGTATCCTCCCTCGTTCCTACACTGAGCCTTCCTCTCCTCGCTGTACCAGGAAAGGCCACTTTCAACCAGTGAGCGCTTCTCGGCATCAGTGCGCAGCTGTGGGAAGAGTTCATGTTCAAATAAACAGTGACTATTTCAGTGTAAAATTGTGAGAAGAAAAGAACCTAAGTCACTAAAGTTAGTGGCCATTCTTTTTCTGTGTAAATGTGCTGGAAAGATGATTTCTTCCCTATTTGAAAATTCTGTTATTCCATAATATTAATTATGGATTAATTAATTATTATAAATTCATTTTAATATTAAATTAATATTAATACTAAACACAAAACAATTAAAATTATTTTGAAAAAAAAGGGGGAAAAACGTCTCGGTTACGTATGTTAACCCTCGTTCCCTGAAGGAGGGAACGGAGACGTCACGTCGGATGACCGACGAATTGGGATCTCGCTTAGAGAGACCAATCTACTTAGAGTGTAAACTAAACGAGCCAATGCACATTGGCATGCGATTATTGCATCCAGCTGCTGCTGATCACAGCGTGAGTATAAGTAGGCAGCAGATGCAGCGCATATTCAGGTTTTCGCTGAGGAGCCGAGCCGGTGACCCAGCCACTCAGCTGTGGTACAGGAGCTGGGAGGAACTCAACAGGGTCTACTATATGGACTCTCTGGAGTGGTTTTAGCAAGCCAACCCGAAGCCAACCCAAAGGCCTCTCAGTGCTTCTACCTGTTTGAGGTGAGAACACAGGAGGTTACCGACTCCACACGAAGACTATAGAATCTAGCAAACGTGTTAGGGGTCGGGCATCAACGGAACTACAGGCGTACCCGCAGTGGGGCAGCGCGGAAGAACGCAGGGACCCGGCCCGGGCGTCTCGTAGCCGGTCCGAGACGGGGTCTGGGTGTGTGTAACACTGACCTGCGTTTGAGCAGAGGGTGCGTGGGTAGTCCATGGTTCATCCTCCCGATCCGCCCGCTGCTGCTCACTGGCGAGAGAGGAGGGTGAGTGTGATACGGCAACTCCGAGATGGTCATACACCCGCAATGGGAGCATGAGTCATCCACGAAAGCCACCTCAGCGTGCTTCCTGCCCAGACACGAGAGGCAGCGATCGTGAGCATCACCCGGCGCTAGGTAACGACCGCACCCAGAAACACACAGATGGTACGACATCTTTAAAAAGACGTTCCACCCGTGAAGCTTTTTTAGATGGAAATTGCTCTTTTAGTGTGCTGAAGCGCACAGGGGAGATGGCCATCTGCAACACACACAGCGGGTAGTGCAGCCTGTTGTGTGCAACCCACTCGACACGGGAAAACCACCGCCGCTGAAGTGCCGTACCACCAGCACGAGAGCCCACGGAGAGCGTGCGTGACTGTAGTTTTTACTACTGTAGAAGGTCAGGAGCAGAACGATAGAACCGCTCGTCTCCGAAGCGAAAAGCTGAATATGCGCTGCATCTGCTGCCTACTTATACTCACCCTGAGATCAGCAGCAGCTGGATGCAATAATCGCATGCCAATGTGCATTGGCTCGTTTAGTTTACACTCGAAGTAGATGGGTCTCTCTAAGGGAGAGCCCAATTCGTCGGTCATCCGACGTGACATCGAGAGTGACCGACTGAAAGGGAACAATATAGCACTCTAAAACCAATGGAAGCCTTTTTCTCCCAAAAATGAAAAAGGTAAATATGACCTTTTATCTCAATTCAGATTTTTTTAATATTATCTAACAATTGAGACTTCTTTTCTTACAATTCTGAGAAAAAGAATCAAAACGGCAAGATATAATGAGAACCACGAGAACCATGAGAACCACTCTCTGGTGAATGGAAAAAGAAGCAACTGTTTTATCATGTCGACATAAGCCACCAAACATGGAAGTTTTGTTTCAGAGTCCTGCTTTGTGAGATGCATTGTGGTCACATTCCAACACGAGCAGTGGAGATGAACAGAAGTAACACACGCTGCGATAAATCAGCACACCACAAAACATCAGAGCAGTGTTTCTTCAGGAGAACTGTTTAGTTTCGGCTCTATCTATCACTGGTTTAAATAAAAGACAAAACTAGTTTATGCCTGCTTTCTGTTGTCATAGACTTAAAATGATATATACATTAAAGTGTGCTATATATACAGTACATATATACTGTATATATACTGTATATATATATAGCAAAAAAACAGTTCTAAACAAATATGTGGGTGGATTTTGATTTGAGGATTCTGACGGCACCCATTCACTGCAGAGATTCCATTGGTGAGCAAGTGATGCAATGCTACATTTCTTCAAATCTGTTCTGATGAAGAAACAAACTCGTATACATTTTAGATGACCTGAGAGTGAATACATTTTCAGCAAATTATAATTTTTCAGTGAACAATTCATTGAATGTATTTTTTTTCTTTTGCATAACATCAAACCTTACAACATGTAAGGTTCTTAACTTGTGAGATTAAGATTCTTGTGTAATAAAATAAATAAAACAGAACAAGATTAATTTTGTGAAATTGAGTTGGTGAAAGTGAACCATCAGAAAAGATAATTTAAGTCTGGCCATGTTGCCGGGCTCAATGAACTAGGTCCGGCTTAAGGAGAAGCTCTGTGGAGGGGCATACCTGCTTTATTAAATGTAAATAACCCTTTGTGAAAGGTTGATGTCATCTGAGGAATGTCTGCTCCCTTACTGGGAATTATGTGAAACGGCAAGTTCACATTTGTCCAATTAAACCTGTCTGAACTTGTTTGTATAACGGTGACGTTGACGTGTCATTTCCTTCTTCTGGCAAAGACAGCCGTGTGGGTCAGATCAAGAAAGAAGCCGGGAATTATTCCCTCCTCCTCCTTCATACAATAAAGTCAGCTGAGGAGGAGGGGAGGCTTGTATGTGAGTCTGAGGGGGGTTTGGAAGAACACTGTGATCTGTTTGATGGAGAGGATATTGAAAGGGTCCAGCAGAGCGTATGTGGTGATACTGTAACCTCATAAAGCAGATTACTGAGCCTGTGGTGCTGCTGGAGAGGTTAATTAAGTTTCAGAATGGGATGACAGGGACACAGTTACACACACGCTAATCTGACTCCATTCTCTAGAGAAGATTCCTGAAAAGCAGTGGACTGTTAGTGCTACCCGCAATGCAGTGGGAATGCTCAAATTCTTAAACTTAACTGAAATAAAATTTGTTTCAGTATTCCCTTTTCTCTTAAAAGTGAAGTTTGCTTTCTGCTTCTGTTTTCAGTTCTACAGTCCAAGATGACTTAAAATTTTCACAACAGATTTGACACATTTTTGTTTAATGTAAATACACTACAGTTTAAAGGTTTGGTGCAGGGATGCATTACATTGGTCAAAAGCATACAATTCTAATGAATCAAATTCATTTTTTTTTAACTTTCTCCATCAAATAATCTTGAAAAAACTAAAAATAATTTGTGGAAACCGATTTTTCAGTTTCAACTGTTTTCAACATTGATAATAATACAAAATGTTTTTTGAGCAGTAAAGCAGCATATTAGAATGATTTCTGAAGGATCATGTGACCCTGAAGACTGGAGTAATGATGCTGAAAATTCAGCTTTGATCACAGGAATAAATTACATTTTTAAGTATATTAAAATAGAAAACAGTTATATTAAACTGCTATAATATTCCACAATATTACTGTTTTTATTGTACTTTGATCAAATAAATGCAGTCTTGTTGAGCATAAAAAAAACCATACCAACCCCAAAATTGTATTACATATATTTTCAATATTTCATCAGCTTAAAGATTAACATTTTGAACTTTAACTGTACTGTACCTCACAGATTGATTTTTATTTGCAACAAATTATTTGTGTTTGAGTCAACATAAGAATGAATAAGTGCTTTATTTTTTTGTGTCGGACATAACTAGTGTCTATAATGACATTCAAAATGAATACAGACACTGTGGCCCATCTGTACTGTAATAATGTGGTAAATGTTTCTCACAATGCCAAGAAACTGTGATTTTAGGTAGCCAGAATGGCTGAAACGAACCCAAAAGCAGTGTGGTCTTCAACAAATCCTAACCAACACAAACACACATTCACACACAGTGGACTGAACCCGTAACTCTACATGGGAGTTCAACTTTGAGAATGAAACCAGAGACTCCCTGAAGACTTCTTGGCCAGGGAAGAGTCACATCTTTGAGTCTTTGGGTGGGATAAACAGTGTCGTCTGTGTTCTGTGGTGATAGATTTCAGATGAGTATCGACTGAGTCAGTGTACGCTCTCTCACTCTAAAGCGGTTAGTGGTTTGTAACACATTCGTCCCATTAACAGTAAGTACTGTGTGCTCAGGCTAGACTGATCCAGTATTGTGTGTCACAAATTGGCCAACTGATGCAACAAACCTTGAAGCAGAAACACAGACTGTGAGAGCAATATTTCTATCCAATTAAAGTGAATTACCACGATGGCGGAGTTTCGTCGGGAGCCAATGGGAGTTGTTGGCAGGGAGTTGAGGGAAGAGCCTGCGTTGAACTCCTCTGAGCTGAGGTTGTCTGAACCGTCACTCAAACCGCTGCTGATGGAGCTGCTTTCATCCCAACTGCAAAGAAAACGCGAGAAATACCATCACTGCCCTGATCCAGGTCATAATTAGGTCATAATGAATTATTCATTTTGTATGTAAAGCAGTCAAATGAATAGCTATAAAGGAACCTATTTTTGAAAACATGTTTTTTTTCTTGCACTTTTAGAGGAAATACTATGTACTACATTGACCTACTCTAACACAACACTCAGCAGTCAATCCAGACTATTTATGAAAACTAAAGTGCAAAAATAAGTCATTATGATAATGACAATGATCATAATCATGAGCACATTACCATGAGTGTGCACATACACATATCATTAAGTATTTAGTATTTGACTAATTAGCATTAAGCAGCTCTGGCCCACCCTGATGATCAACAATGTGAACTTCATATCTACAAACATGCTAGCCAATCATAACAGGTCATTTACATAGAGGTCTTAAAGGTACAGTGGCAAAACAGACAGGATAATTCTAAGATTAAACAGAGGATGGAAAATTGTCATAAACTCTATTTTATGTCTGGTTTTGTTGCAATTTATCTTAATTACCCTTATAAGTGGGCTTCAGGGAAAAATAATATGAATAAGAATGCATTATTAACAAGACAAACCTGATTCAGGCATGTCATTCTTACACCGATACATTTCAGTTATGTTTACATGCACATGACTATCTTATGTTAATCAGAATTTGGTAATTTTCTGATTATGTACACATCATATAAACACAATAACCCAATAATGTGATTAAGACAATATTCAAACTTCCAGAAATCAGAATAAGACAGCTGGTATATGCCTGTATTAAATTTAATTCTTTGTCATGTAAACGTCTTATTCACAATACCTATTGTAACTAGAATATTAATTTTTATCTGCGCACATCCAAATTTAAAGGATTGGTTTTATTAAGTTCTCAGAAGGCATGCAATAGAAGTGACACATTTTTAAAGAAAGGACTGGTTATGATTTTGCATACCTGTACATTAAAATAAAGCACTGTGGCCTGAATTTTCTAATTGTGAACAGCCATTCTGGGAATAAAGGCCTTAATCTGAATATAAAGTGAATATAATGTGTGCACACATTGTCAGTGACACCACCTGCTATGAGCACAAAATATAGATGATCTATGCCTATTATTTTTACATTCAACAGCAGGATTTCGAAGTAACTTTCAATGTTTTTCAATCAGAACCTCATTAAAGATTCACAAGGATATCTGATTTTGTCTGGTCCTGGTGTGTCAGGATCATTAAAAAGCAAATGCTCCAGGATGGAAGGTGACTTTGAGATAAGAACTCATCTTGTCGCACAGGACCTGATAAGCCCTGAGAAAGTGATAAGTCCATCCTCACATCACTGAGCATGTATGCTTAAAAAAGACAGCTGAAACCTTTCCAATCAGAAGCAACAACTGATAAACGTGTTGTGCCACAAAGGAACCTGACCAGTTCCTAGCAGATAAAATTTGTGTTATGTAACTGTTGCCCTTATCTCAGAATAAAACACACAGTCACAGGGGTTTCTCATCTTTGCGAGGCTGTCTGCTCAAGCTGGCATGAGAGTCTGTGGGGGGTTTAGAAGAACACTGTGATCTGTTTGTCCAGCAGAGCATGTGTGGTGATGCTGTAACCTCATGGAGCAGATTACTGGGCCTGTGGTGCTGCCAGAGAGGTTAATTTCAGTTTAGAAGGATGACAGGGACACTGCTAATCTGATTTTATTCTCTAGAGAAGATTCCTGGGATTGCACTGGGAATGCTGAACATAATTTTTTTTTTCATTTGCAACAAATTATTCATGTTAGAATCAACATAAGAGTGAATAAATGCTTTTTTTGTGTGTGAACTTTGTGTGTAGGATCTAACTAATATCTCTAATAACATTCAAAATAAATACAGACACTGTGGCCCATTTGTACTATAATAATGTGGTAAATGTTTCTCACAACGCCAAGAAACTGTGATTTTAGGTAGCCAGAAGGGCTGAAATGAAACCAGAAAGCGGTGTGGTCTTCAACAAATCCTAACCAACACAAACACACATTCACACACAGTGGACTGAACCCGTAACTCTACATGGGAGTTCAACTTTGAGAATGAAACCAGAGACTCCCTGAAGACTTCTTGGCCAGGGAAGAGTCACATCTTTGAGTCTTTGGGTGGGATAAACAGTGTCGTCTGTGTTCTGTGGTGATAGATTTCAGATGAGTATCGACTGAGTCAGTGTACGCTCTCTCACTCTAAAGCGGTTAGTGGTTTGTAACACATTCGTCCCATTAACAGTAAGTACTGTGTGCTCAGGCTAGACTGATCCAGTATTGTGTGTCACAAATTGGCCAACTGATGCAACAAACCTTGAAGCAGAAACACAGACTGTGAGAGCAATATTTCTATCCAATTAAAGTGAATTACCACGATGGCGGAGTTTCGTCGGGAGCCAATGGGAGTTGTTGGCAGGGAGTTGAGGGAAGAGCCTGCGTTGAACTCCTCTGAGCTGAGGTTGTCTGAACCGTCACTCAAACCGCTGCTGATGGAGCTGCTTTCATCCCAACTGCAAAGAAAACGCGAGAAATACCATCACTGCCCTGATCCAGGTCATAATTAGGTCATAATGAATTATTCATTTTGTATGTAAAGCAGTCAAATGAATAGCTATAAAGGAACCTATTTTTGAAAACATGTTTTTTTTCTTGCACTTTTAGAGGAAATACTATGTACTACATTGACCTACTCTAACACAACACTCAGCAGTCAATCCAGACTATTTATGAAAACTAAAGTGCAAAAATAAGTCATTATGATAATGACAATGATCATAATCATGAGCACATTACCATGAGTGTGCACATACACATATCATTAAGTATTTAGTATTTGACTAATTAGCATTAAGCAGCTCTGGCCCACCCTGATGATCAACAATGTGAACTTCATATCTACAAACATGCTAGCCAATCATAACAGGTCATTTACATAGAGGTCTTAAAGGTACAGTGGCAAAACAGACAGGATAATTCTAAGATTAAACAGAGGATGGAAAATTGTCATAAACTCTATTTTATGTCTGGTTTTGTTGCAATTTATCTTAATTACCCTTATAAGTGGGCTTCAGGGAAAAATAATATGAATAAGAATGCATTATTAACAAGACAAACCTGATTCAGGCATGTCATTCTTACACCGATACATTTCAGTTATGTTTACATGCACATGACTATCTTATGTTAATCAGAATTTGGTAATTTTCTGATTATGTACACATCATATAAACACAATAACCCAATAATGTGATTAAGACAATATTCAAACTTCCAGAAATCAGAATAAGACAGCTGGTATATGCCTGTATTAAATTTAATTCTTTGTCATGTAAACGTCTTATTCACAATACCTATTGTAACTAGAATATTAATTTTTATCTGCGCACATCCAAATTTAAAGGATTGGTTTTATTAAGTTCTCAGAAGGCATGCAATAGAAGTGACACATTTTTAAAGAAAGGACTGGTTATGATTTTGCATACCTGTACATTAAAATAAAGCACTGTGGCCTGAATTTTCTAATTGTGAACAGCCATTCTGGGAATAAAGGCCTTAATCTGAATATAAAGTGAATATAATGTGTGCACACATTGTCAGTGACACCACCTGCTATGAGCACAAAATATAGATGATCTATGCCTATTATTTTTACATTCAACAGCAGGATTTCGAAGTAACTTTCAATGTTTTTCAATCAGAACCTCATTAAAGATTCACAAGGATATCTGATTTTGTCTGGTCCTGGTGTGTCAGGATCATTAAAAAGCAAATGCTCCAGGATGGAAGGTGACTTTGAGATAAGAACACATCTTGTCGCACAGGACCTGATAAGCCCTGAGAAAGTGATAAGTCAATCCTCACATCACTGAGCATGTATGCTTAAAAAAGACAGCTGAAACCTTTCCAATCAGAAGCAACAACTGATAAACGTGTTGTGCCACAAAGGAACCTGACCAGTTCCTAGCAGATAAAATTTGTGTTATGTAACTGTTGCCCTTATCTCAGAATAAAACACACAGTCACAGGGGTTTCTCATCTTTGCGAGGCTGTCTGCTCAACTGCGGACACCCATGGAATGAAACAGCTAACTCTGGAAAGACATTCCTCTTTCTGCAATATTCCTTTGGAAATGGATTCATTGGATCAATTGAAAACAAAGCAAAAGCAAAGCAACGCTAAAAAAATAAAACAAAACAAAAATAATGAGCAAAACAAACAAAAAAAAACTAAACAAATAGCAAAGAAAACAAAACAAATAAACATAGAGAAGCTAAACAAAATTAAACAATACCAAAAAACAGCAAAGAAAACAAAAAAACAGCAAAGCAACACAAAACAAAAACGCAAAGCTAAACAAAGCAAAACAAAACAAAATAAAACAACAAAAAACGGCAGAGAAAACAAAAGAAAAAAACTAAACAAAGTAAAACAATAAACAGCAAAGCAAAAAAAAACAAAAATCAAAGCAAAAAAACAAAGCAAAGCAAAACAAAATAAAACAACAAAAAAGCAGCAAAGAAAAAACAAAGCAAAACAAGCAAAGCTAAGCAAAAAAAGTTCAACAAGTCTAATTATTTCATACAATTCTTCAGTGCCTTTAACAATGGCTTTGATACATCATAATAGCCTTTGAACCTCATCCACAAAACACAATAAAGTTTCCACACTTTCATTCCATTTCCACCTCCAGTCTCCATTTTCCAAATGCTTTAAATTCCTCAGATGTCCCCTTGACACCTAAATACTGGATTAAGTAGCTGCATATTGTGAGGAGTCTGTCATTATAAGATATCCAAGCACATTCAGTTGTCTTGTGATACGGCCAGCCCTAAGGTGAAACACTGACGGTCTCTTTATGAGTGATAATGATCAGGGTTCAAGTTTCAGGGCTGTTTGGAGCACCTCAAGCCTCAAGCTCTGTGATTACGCTCAAAATTCTCGTCTACAGACCTGAGATGACAGCACTCCACTGATGGTTTTAAAGGATGAACAGCAGTCTCATGTTTAGCTCTGCAGCTGAGAATTTTTGTGTGAAAAAGACAGCTGAAACCTTTCCAATCAGAAGCAACAACTGATAAACGTGTTGTGCCACAAAGGAACCTGACCAGTTCCTAGCAGATAAAATTTGTGTTATGTAACTGTTGCCCTTATCTCAGAATAAAACACACAGTCACAGGGGTTTCTCATCTTTGCGAGGCTGTCTGCTCAACTGTGGAGACCCATGGAATGAAACAGCTGACTCTGGAAAGACATTCCTCTTTCTGCAATATTCCTTTGGAAATGGATTCATTGGATCAATTGAAAACAAAGCAAAAGCAAAGCAACGCTAAAAAAATAAAACAAAACAAAAATAATGAGCAAAACAAACAAAAAAAAAACTAAACAAATAGCAAAGAAAACAAAACAAATAAACATAGAAAAGCTAAACAAAATTAAACAATACCAAAAAACAGCAAAGAAAACAAAAAAACAGCAAAGCAACACAAAACAAAAACGCAAAGCTAAACAAAGCAAAACAAAACAAAATAAAACAACAAAAAATAGCAGAGAAAACAAAAGAAAAAAACTAAACAAAGTAAAACAATAAACAGCAAAGCAAAAAAAAAAAAAAAAGCAAAGCAAAAAAACTAAGCAAAGCAAAACAAAATAAAACAACAAAAAAGCAGCAAAGAAAAAACAAAGCAAAGCAAAACAAAACAACAAGCAAAGCTAAGCAAAAAAAGTTCAACAAGTCTAATTATTTCATACAATTCTTCAGTGCCTTTAACAATGGCTTTGATACATCATAATAGCCTTTGAACCTCATCCACAAAAAACAATAAAGTTTCCACACTTTCATTCCATTTCCACCTCCAGTCTCCATTTTCCAAATGCTTTAAATTCCTCAGATGTCCCCTTGACACCTAAATACTGGATTAAGTAGCTGCATATTGTGAGGAGTCTGTCATTATAAGATATCCAAGCACATTCAGTTGTCTTGTGATACGGCCAGCCCTAAGGTGAAACACTGACGGTCTCTTTATGAGTGATAATGATCAGGGTTCAAGTTTCAGGGCTGTTTGGAGCACCTCAAGCCTCAAGCTCTGTGATTACGCTCAAAATTCTCGTCTACAGACCTGAGATGACAGCACTCCACTGATGGTTTTAAAGGATGAACAGCAGTCTCATGTTTAGCTCTGCAGCTGAGAATTTTTGTGTGATGCGACGTCTCATTTGACAGCTGTTTTTTTTGCTTTGATGCCTTGCAAGCATGCCATATATGCGACTTAAAACATTCTTCAAGCCTGTGAACTCAACAGCTATGATATGTCAGTTGAATCAAAAGCAACATCTCTTCTGTGTGATCTTGATTTATTTCTGAAAGTGTCACTTTAAGTGCATAACATGACAAGCAGAGCCTCCCTGCTGAATTTCTGCCGCAGGTGATGTGGAAAAGGAGGACGAGGAGACCTTGAAAACCACTTCAAACGCATGCCATAGACACCATGCGGTTTTCGATAAACCCAGACTAAAACTGTGTGTTTGATGTTCTGTAGAAGGGGAAAATGCAGATAAGGACAGCAACCTTTTGGAGATGCTGCGCTCCCTTGACCAGCCCTGTTTGTCAGTGGACGTGAATTTAGGAATTTTTTTATTTTTATTTTTTAAACAATATGGACTTCATAGGGCTTTAGTTCTGGTGGGGAAAAAAAGATAATGAGCAGCAGAATCTCTGCAAGATTAGGCTTAACCAGCACTGATAAATACTGTACCATAACACTCTGTGACCTCAGATTAAAGGATTATACAAAGGCTACTGGAAGCAGAGGATTTAAATTCAGCTTTAAAGATGACATGAAACAACATTCACAACCTATTTTACATTCATAATATGATGCATTTTTGAGTGAAACAGAATACTTAATGAGAAAATTAGGGCCTAATGAAATCTGCCACTATATTAGACAGATAGGCCTATATAGTGAAGAATAAAAAGACATTTCCAGAGAGAGAGCATAGCTAATGGTCAGGACATGTTGCAGTCTCAAAACTAGATTACCTGCATGAGCAGCAGAGCTCAACATGTCTTACCACAAGCTAACTGCAGCTCTATGGCTCCTACTTTAACTGTAACATCATTTTAGGGCCATATTAAATCAACTTCCACAGTATCCCTTTTCAGCAAGCAAATACAAAGTGCATTCTGTCCATTTTAAAGAAAAAAAAAACAAAAGCAAGGAGAAATGCATATGTACAATAATTCCCAAGGCTAAATAAAGAAAGACAGCTAAAATAGACATACACCACTGAGCTAATTATGCTAGTGCTGTTAGAGCCGTCTTTCTCCAGCTGAAGCACACTCCTCTATCTGTCCTCCCTTCCCAGAACAGGGCTCTCCAAAAACACAATAACATTGTGTCAAGGCTGCACCGTAATTGCAGAGAGCCCAAGCCCCGCCAGATAGAAAAAAAAGAACAATTTGAAGATAAAGCATCCTCCTACCCATCCCCTCCACCCTTAACCAAACATT